GGCCTACCCCTGCCTTGTTTGACTTGAATGTGACCTGTGGGAACCAGATGTCTGATACCCTGAGATATGCAAGGGCACAGGTGTGTAGGTCAGTAGGTGTGTAGGTCAGTAGGTGTGTAGGTCAGTAGTAGATGTGTAGGTCAGTAGGTGTGTAGGTAAGCCTATATGGCGGTCCCAGTGCCGTCTTTGACTCCTGCTCTTTTCCTTTGCCAGTGTTAGTTTTGTCCTAACATGTTCCTGACGAAACAGTGGGTGGTTGGAGGGTGTCACTGGTAGGTCCTACTTCTTTACTTTCCCTCTGTGGTGTCTCTCTGTGCGGGTGGTTGGGGGGTGTCACTGGTAGGTCCTGCTTCTTTTCTTTCCCTCTGTGGTGTCTGTCTGTGTTGCCGCTTCCATGCTGTAGACATGGGTGGTTGGCGGGTGCTCTGGTGTGGTTTGCTTCTTCTTTCCTATCAAACATCTTTCGTCCTGATCTCTCCTTCTCCTATTTTGTGTTTGTTACTCTCTCGTAACACTTCGAATCTTTGCCACTTCCATGACTGCATTGTGCTGCGAGTGCCGTAATACTCCTGAGAAAACAAACCTAAAAAAACTGTTTCCATGCTGTTGTGGTCGATACAGGTCGTGGTCGGTGTGTGTGTACAGGTCGTGGTTGGTGTGTGTGTACAGGTCGTGGTTGGTGTGTGTGTCTTCTCCACCTGATGGCATCTAGCCGGGTCTTCTGTCACGTGACTCACTGTTGTGTGAGAGAGGCTGTCACGTGTGTGTATGTGTGGGGGGGGGGTATATGTCTGTGTGTCTGTGTGTGTGTATGTGTGTGGTGTGTGTGTGTGTGAGTGAGTGTGTGAGAGTGTGTGTGTGTTTTGTGTGTGTGTGTGTGTGTGTGTGTGTGACAAGGAATCCCTCTCTACTGTGTGTGTGTGTGTGAGAGTGTGTGTATGTGTGTACGTGTGTGTGTGTGTACGTGTGTGTGTGTCTTTGTGTGTGTGTGTGTGTGTCTGTGTGTGTGTGTGTGTGACAGGGAATCCCTCTCTACTGTGAGTGTGTGATAGAGACTGATACAGGAGTCTCCTTTTGACTCACTCTCTCTCTCTCTCTCTCTCTCTCTGTGTGTGATAGAGACTTATATAGGAGTCTACTTATGTAGAACGTGTACTGTCGTGTGTTTGGAACTGTTGCCATGTAGAACGTGTACTGTCGTGTGTTTGGAACTGTTGCTGTGTTGTTTGTAAATGAAGTCAATAGGGGAGCAACTACTGTCCATCGTCTGCAACACGACATGTAGGTCAAGGCCATCCACAACACGACATGTGGGTCAAGGCCATCCCAACAAGACATGTAGGTCAAGGTCATCTACTACGCGACATGTAGGTCAAATTTTATATATATATATATACAGAGGCG